TACAGTTAATATTTTTTATTATTATTAAAATAATTTATGTATACATTTCTAATTATAAATAATTTTTTTAAGCATTTCTTATTAAGCAATTCTTTAAATTTATTTCTTAAAAAAAAAGCTACTTTAGTGTTTTCTTTCACTATTTTCTTTGTATAAACTTATATAAAAGATATCGTTATGTTCTGTACCGTACATAAGTATGATTTGTATGTACTGTATTATACATAAATGTATAAAAATTGAAAGGTAACAAATATTTTCCGTGTTTATTTGAATTTTATTCTTAAAATCGTTTGTATATTTATGGTTATCAAATAAAAAAATAATAAATAAAACAAGATTTTTATATCACATGGTGCAGAAAGATAATGAAAAAAAAAAATGTCAAAACTCTTCGTATTTCACGTCACGTTTTTTGCAACTCAGTTCAGGTTTTTCCTTTAAAGACATTTCCATATTAATTTTATACATTTCAATGAGATAGTCTTTCATGTCATCTAACACGAAAGATACGTATCTATCTTATTGGCTGTGTTTTCTACTTTTGTAGTTTAAATGTAATATAAATAAAATTAAATATTATGTTATTATTATATTCTATAAAATAAACTAATAATAATAAATAGGTGAATTTATGCAAATAAATATTTATATAACATTTTACTTAATCCACAGAATTAGCTTTCAAGTATTTGTATATATGATATGTTAGTTTGAAAAGAAAGAAATATATATATATAATCATATTTATAGATATACTAACCATATATTAAAAGCATTAAAAATAAAAAAATTCATTCATTTTCATTCGTAATATTTATATACAAACTCATTAAACAGTTATATGAATATTAAAATCTCACTTTATAATTATACTTTATGCTTTAAAAAAGTAATTAAAATCGAAGTTTTAAGTATATATTTCACCTAATTTTAAATATATATACTATATTATACACGTAATTATAAATATATACTTCTATACATACAAACTGTACATTGCTATGTTTTTAACTAATAATTTTTGTTTTGCTTACTATTTTACATTACTTATTTACTATATTAATTATAATTTTAAGTTTATTTATTTATTTATAATTTTAGTTTAGTTATTTATTCAAAATTAAAATTGTGAATTAAATAACTAAACTATATTCGTGTACAAAGGCGAAATTAAAAAGTGTTTTCTGTTGAAAAATTATGTTAAAAATTTATAATTATTAAAATAAAAATGCTTAATATTTGAATTTAATATAGTTTATTGTAATTATAATACAGAAATCAGTTGATATTTAAATATTTTTTGAACAAGAAAACATTAATTTTAACATCATACCTATTATAAAAATGAAAAGAATAAGCTTACAATAAATATATTTTATATTCTTTTATGGTTGCTATTAATATAAAATAGTTTCTAATATAAAAATCCTTAAATTCTCCAACATAAAAAAAACACAATGAAATGAAATTCAAATTGTAACTTTCTTATTACATATATTTCACTTATATTCTAACCTATAAGCTGTTAAAGAAATAATATACTAAAATAATAAATTTCTTATTAAATTATAACTTGAACATTAAATGAAATAAATTTTATAAAACATTAATTTTTTCAAAAATAATATGAATAAAAAAATATCATGAATATGGAGTAATTCATGTTTAATTCATGAACTTAAATCAATTTTTTAAAATCCTATTTTAATTTAATCAAGTGTATATTCAATGCTTTAAACACATTGATTATTATTATATTTAAGGATATTATGATGATAATTTATACATTTTATTCTGTTAATATTATGTTAAAGAATAGGAATGTTCTATATTATTATAATAAATTAATTCCTACTTTAGAATGAAAATGAAAGGTTAAAAATAAAGACATTTTTTTNTATTATTTCTGAATAACTAATATGAATTCAATAGTAAATTCCTAAACAGTTGATAAATTGATTTAATATAGAAAACTAATTAAATTTTTCTTTTTATAAAGTTTCTTTTTGAAAATTGCTTTAAGAGGATTTTTAAAGATTTTAGGATTTGATCTAAAATTAGATAAGAATTTTCAATATCTTAATGACTATATTAACTCTTTTTGTTTCTTGTCTTTAATCCGTTCTTTTTGACAATTTGCCACGAATTAAATATTTTTCTGATGAAGAAAAAATATAAAAGTTTATCTGTCTTGTTACTGAATGATAAAGTCCATTTAGTAACTAATGAACGTGATATAAAATTGATTGTATCTATATAAAATGAAAAAGCTTAAAAATTGATACATATTAATTAATTTTTATTTAGATGTATAATAAATAATTATAAGATTTTGTGTAGAATTCTAATACGATTGTAAATGATTGTTAAAGTGGATGGATAGAGAAAGGATAAGATCCATAAACGTAATTTGTTTAGTAGCTTTAATACTGTTATTTTGAAGTATTATTTCTCTTTTTTGTTTATTATTTCTTCGAAAGATTACTATTTTATTTATATTGTAAAGAATTATTATTAACTTATTCTCTGAACAATTATTTCAAAGTTGATTTAACTTTCATTGAGATCAATGATTCTAGTTAAAATATCAACATGAAGAAAATAATAAATAATTTTACTTTTTTCTTATACATATAATTACAAAACTATATATAAATATTATTTTAAACATGAATATGCAGCAATTCATAGTATTAATCTGAGAAGTTGAAAACAAACTAATTAGTAATCATCTTGTAAAAAACCTTTGGTTGTCGATTTATTTCTATAATTTTTTTTGTTTTTTATTTGTTCGTACTAACGTTTGTTTTTTATTTGTTCGTAAAAAAACTATATGTAATATAGTTTTTTTATATATATAGGCTAAAAGACTGTTTCTCTTCCTCTACATAACACTTCTCTGATTCGATGTGTTTCCCTATAATTTTCAAGTTGCTCTTCTGTCTGATAATTTCTGTTTCTCGTAGCAATGTTAATTACTGTACTTCTTTGTACTTCAATGTTAGATGTACTTTCTTCCGTGGTTTCANGACTGTTTCTCTTCCTCTACATAACACTTCTCTGATTCGATGTGTTTCCCTATAATTTTCAAGTTGCTCTTCTGTCTGATAATTTCTGTTTCTCGTAGCAATGTTAATTACTGTACTTCTTTGTACTTCAATGTTAGATGTACTTTATTCCGTGGTTTCATTTCTCTGAGCCATCTTTTGCCTTTGAGATATGATTCGAGACCACAAAAATTCTTTCTTACTTTTTGGCATTGTTTTGTATATTTTTACTTTTTACACTTCACTATTCACTTTTCACTTTTTTCTGTTATTTGTACACTTTTACTTATGAAAAATCAACTAAAGAATGTGCGTCACGAAGCGAAGCGGGTACTTGCAGCTAGTCTATATATAAATGGACGTGTTTGTCCCTATATTTCACTCTGCAGCCAAAACTACACATCGCACATGAATGTTGTTTGTGTGTGGTTGTAGCCCCAAGTCTCCCATCGTGCGCTATGATGGTTTGTCTCGATAGCTATAACGGTGTGGGAGATATGGGGGTTGAACGTAGTTGACTTCGAAAATGTGTAACAATGAAAGTGTCAATAATGTAAGTGTTAACAATGGAAGTGTTAAGAGAAAGAGGCAGTCAAATTCAAAACGATAGAAGACGTTACTGAATTTTCACAAAAAACGTTTATATTACAAGTAAAACGTATGTACAGTTACGAAAGTTCACAAATAACAATTACAATACGTCAGGTGTGACAAAGTTCAAATACTTTTTATCCACGACAACAGGTCCGTCGAAAAGGACACCTTGAGACGAACTCCTCCAAACGTTAGTTACCGCACAGCGAGACGAAACAATCTTCTAGACAAGCTTAGGCGAGGCTAGACGAACATGAGTTCTCTTGATGTGTCATAGGCGAACTGAACTTCCCGCCTAAACTCAATTCTTTTATACGGATTGAGGCAAATGGAATTCCACCAATCAGCGCTTAGTACCGCTATCGGACGTCCGCTGGTCATACGATGTCTTCCAGCCAATCCACGGTCGAGTTTCCAAAGTCGCCAGATCGGCGTTCCCACGGTGACAACCGTCGTTCGTTTGAAAATACGGAAAAGCGCGGGAAATCGTATGTCGGACGATTTTACCCCGACTGCGGCGTGCAAGATTTACAGGCGCAGATGCGGTATTTTGCGTTTTTGCAAGAAATCGAAAATATTTTTAGATTCACGTAAAAATTCTCTAATTAGTCTGGAAACGGGGGACCAAATTCTTGCATTCTGTAAAGATGGGTAAGATTGTCTATAATGTAATCTTAATCTTAAATGTTTTGGAATAGTCGAGGATTGTTATGTGTGAGTAGTGGGGATGGCTTTTGGAGACGTGTGACGCACAAGCTTCAGTTGATTTTTCATTAGTAAAAGTGTATGAATAACAGAAAAAGGTAGAAAGTGAAAAGTAAATAGTAAAGTGTGAAAAGTAAAACTATAAAAAACAATGCCAAAGTGTAAGAAAGAATTTTTGCGGTCTCGAATCATATCGAAACAGAAATAATCAAACAGAAGTGCAACTTGAAAATTATAGGGAAACACATCTAATCAGAGAAAGATTATGTAGAGGAAGATAAGCAGACATTTATGTAAAAAAGAACTATATTACATATAAATGTACGAACAAATAAAAACCCAGCGAAGCGGGTACTTGCAGCTAGTAATAATAATAAACTTTTCAATAGCTTATAGAACTTTATCGAATTTCAAATCGATTCTAAATATTTAAAAAATTGAACACAGGATTATGGTTCTTCACATATTAAAAGTTGTTCTGCAAAATTATTCTGTATCCAGCAGATATTCTAATAAATTATATATAAAAGAATTTCTTTCGGTCCATTTCAGGCAAATTCACTTTATAATGAATTTGCCTGAAATGGACCGAAAGAATACACTTAAGTTCAAAACAAAAACATAACCATTAATTTAGCCTATATCTGATGAACTAATGATCAGAAAAGCCTGAAACTTAATATAAAGAATATCAATATTCTTTACGAAAAGAAAAAAAAAATTCAAAAAGCAAAAATTTCATCTAAATTAAGTCATACCGAAAACATGAAAAAGTATTAAGCATTGTCGTAAACTTTTTTGCACAAAAAATCATTAGTATGGCGTGTGGTTGCCTCATGCACGCATAAACACTGCACTAAAAGTGTATATGCGTGTAACCTATAATGTTCATCAATTCTATCGGGAGCAAAGTCCAGTTTTAAACAAGAGCATCTTAAAGCTTCTTGAGAGTTCGTGGTAAAGACTGAAAGGATACAACTCGTTCAAATGGGGTCCCAAAACTTTGTCTCTATTTGAAACACTGAGCTCAACGCCCTTTGCAAGAGCTCAGTGAGGCCATTAAGCATAAGACCGCTCCAGATAATGATATCACAACCGTTAAAGTTGTCGGTTTCCATAATATTTATGAAACTGTATAGAGTTCCCGCTCTGTGAGGATTGTAAATCGATGAGATTTTTAAACTGTAAACTGTACCTTGATTCGTCAGTAATAAGATAAGGAAAAATGCCATCTCATTCATTCAAAGTCCAATATCTAAGTTCTTGATTTCATCTTAAACGGATTCTGCACAGGAGTCAATCGAACACATGTACTAGTCATCTTGCAAATAGACCATTTGACGAAGCCTCCTGAAGATAATTTGTTGTGAGACTAACATTGGTGACCATATCTCTACAGAGAGCTGCCTACCAGACATTTTTCTGTTACGATGTCTGTTAACGTCAAATAGCGGTTTCGTTGAGTGATGATAACTCTGAAGTCCAGTTTCTTGTTGACGTCCATTTCCTGTCCTTTGAAATTTGACTTAATGATTGGATATATTGTGCGGTGCATTTAAGAGTCCAGGACACATCTACCTACCTCGAATGGTCTGCTTATAGCTTTCCAGTAACTCTTTCTTTCATAAAATTGTTTAAGTAGCATCTTTGTGACATTTTTACTGTCAATATCATACAATAAAACATTAACAAGCTGTCCTCGATGGCTAAATCGTAACACAAACGATGCCACGCTGTTACTATATTTATGGGGCCTACATATTTTACATAAACTTGTGCTTTTTAATGAAACATTCGGCTACATCCAAAGTATTTTTATTGTCTGTAAACGTTACATAAATTTTCTGCTGTTTCTGTTTATTTTTTCCTATATCTATGAATTGGACATAAATTATTATATACCAAATGATCCAGAGGTCCTTCGACGTAGCAGCGTAAATGGCTAAAGCGTAAAGGACCATCAAGAGGGAGAAACTGGAGATTTTTCTCTGGATCCAGAGATAATTTAGGGGCGCAAGGATCGAGATTGCCCCTGCGACCCTTGCAAGCTCTCTATGATCCTTACTGCTATGTCGATATATTAATTATGAATATATGCATATATAAGTAAAAGAATACAACCTCATATTGTAAAACAGACTGGACGAAGTGTTAATTCTGTTTTTATATTGTGTTATTTCTTTTGAATTTAATCTTAATTTAATTTTGTTTGAACTTTATTTCAAATTTTATTTTCATTAAATATATAATATAGAATATTAAATAATATAAATCAACTTTATTTTTCGACGTAAATTTATTTCAAATTTAAGGAAAAAATTTACTATACCTGAAATAAATTTATCGTTGGAATATAAGAATAATTACATTACTCGTAAAGCTTAATTAAGAAATTACATTATACGGTTTGAGTTTTCTAGAGTATGACAGTCATTTTACTGAAACTAAGCTGTTTTATCTAAAGAAATCACACACAAATCTTATTTCCATTAACAGAATGCTTCTTTTATAGATCTGTAGCCAGTCAACTGATCAGAGGAGAGTCTGTAACTGCCGAAGCTTTCGATAGCGTTACAATTTATTTTAGTGATATCGTAGGGTTTACTGCACTTTCTGCACAGAGTACGCCAATGCAGGTATATATACTTATATATGTTATTTTTTTAATTTATTTAATATTAATATTATTGCATTAAAGTATGTTTAAAGACAAAAATTCATATTATAAAAATTAAAATAATTTGATGAAACTATACATACATATATATATACAATTATACTACTCGTATGTATGTTTTGTTACTTTATAAATGTTAACAAAGTTCAAACTTACCTAATTGAATCTTCACTAAATTAAATCTGTTTAAATTAATTTAGGGCATCAAATTTTCAAATATCCTCTATGTACAATGGCAATTTGTATGGGAAACAAAAGCTTAAATATTCTTTACATAATGGTATTACGTATAAACATTTCGACATACCACTAAGAATAATCTTCTCGACAACGTCTACCTCTAGAAATAAAGTCCTACAATTAACGTCAGTGACCTGAATGAATAAGAAAATTTCTACGAAATATTCTTTTTGCATATATTATTTGTCATTAAATTTTTTTTAATGGAAGAGCAAATAGACGGCAGTAAATAGTTTTTCTTTATGTGATTGAAACATAACTTAAAATAATAATAATAATAATAATTTTATTGATTAGGAATAGGATGAAAGAATAGGACGACGTCACATAAACAAATTGTAAATTTAAATTATAGTAAATTTGTATATAATTTTTTCTTAATTTATTCTGATCAATGAGAGCATTTAATTCTAATTAAATAACACATGAGGAATTTATAGTAAGGCTTTTCAAGTGGTGCCATCTAGGGAATTTTTGGTGTATAATATAGAAAATTAATACAAACAAGTGAAAATAAATACTTATAGGACAATATACAGTCTACCCCCTATAACACTGTTGATTATTCCGTTTTATATGAATTCCATGTTGTACGAGTCACTTAGATTTTACAAATATGTGTGCCGGGCTGTGAACGGTTCACGTATTTGTAAAATCTAAGTGACTCGTATAACATGGAATTCATATAAAACGGAATAATCAACAGTGTTATAGTGGGGTCGACTGTAGTTAGAAAATAAGCGATTTACATAAATTAATTTTTACATATGAAACTGTAATCAATAAACTTATTTTATTTAAAGGATTCAACTTTTCTTACACATTTCATTGCATACTTTTTCTGCTGTCAAGAAAATCTTCTAACAATATATTTAAATACATAATAAAAAATAGCATCATTAAACTGCATGGAATTAGGCAATTTGGTCTGTTTCTAGACAGTTGATTCTTGACAGTTCTTGGACACTTTTTTCATTAAGTCTTTTATTTGCTTTTTATATAGGAGATTTTTTATTACAATTTATCTACAGACAATCCGTGAACTGTCCGTACAATTAGCTATAATATGTAGTCATTTGCGTAATGTATAACAACATCACATCACTAATTTAATAATTTCAAAATACTGTACATTGAATTTTTAACTTGCACCACTCCCTGGTAAATATATCCATATGAATATTAAATAATATAGATGACAGAATAGGTGTACTAGACACTTTAGATTATATTCAGTGTGTTATTTTGTTGTTTATATTGGTTTTAATTTTTATATTGATGTACTGTACAGTACTAGTACTGTCCTAATCAATTGTTACGATATAAGTTACGTACTAGAGTTCGTAAATCATAAAAAGTATTTAGTAACCTGCATATTGTGTATTAAATTCTCTTCCAAATACTAAAAAAAAATATTTACTATTTACTATCCTTTTGTTTAAAATTAAATATAAAAAGTAATTCATTGCATATACTATTATATAAGAAAAATAATTAGCTACTGTACAGTACAGTACGTGAAATACAGTATGTTTAACGTGTTATATACACGAATATGTTTTCTCTATTGTTGTAGATTAGTTAGTGTCCATGGTTGTATTACTTTTCCGGCTGTTTTATATAACAACCGGGAAAGTAATACAACCATTAACCATTGTATTTATGAGTGTTAGTGTGTAAATGTATGGGTAAGTGGGAAGGTAGTACGATTCTGTTCACTCACTTTGAAGCGTAATAACTCCTGTGTCTGGTCGAAAATTTCCGAAATTTTGCAGGGAGGATGCTATTAAATTTTGGTGGTTGAAGGTCAAAGAAATGGAGAGATAGAGGGAGGTTTCGTGTTATATCTTGAATGGGAATGGACTTAATAAAAAAAATTATATTCTTTATTAGCATGTATAATTTCTTTTATAAAATTAAACTCTACTCTCAAAATTAAGCTTTTAACCATTTTATAATAATTAATACTGTAATATAAATGTTTTTATAAAATTTATTATTACTAAAATATTATCACTCAAAACAAAACTTCTTTGAACTAATCGAGCGCTTACACAATGTTAAACTTCATTAATTCCTTATTCTCTAACAATTTTCACTCGTCGAAAATCATTAAAATAATATTCAAAATGTTCGAAATACCTATTTTTAAATTAAATTTTTGAAAGTATTTCAAGTAAATAATAATTCTTATGAACAGATTCGGCTTACTGAATAGGGATGCTGACTGGATTGTCATGATTTATGATCAGTATGAGTCTGGCCTCCATTCTTATTCTTTACCTATAATGGCTGACCCTTTTGCAAGTCTGTCCGCCCGTAATGGATGAACTGTGGCTGGCCATTTACCTTTAATGTGCTGGTTTCATGTTAACAAATCAATAATATATCTTATGAAAAGAAAGATTTAACGATTTTATGATTGGAAGAAAGTAAAATTGCAATACGCTCGCTATAGGAAATTTCGGATCGGCGTATCGTTTGACGAATAAAAAATTGAATAAAGAAATAAAAGATATTTTAATATCGTATTTATCTTAACTTAATTTTTAAAATTTTACGAGTATATAAATCAATAAAATAAAATAATTTCCATTATATTTTCAATGATTAAATTTATTTTATTAGGTTGTGGATCTTTTAAATGATCTCTATACATGCTTTGATTCGGTGATAGAAAGCTACGATGTTTATAAGGTAAGCTAGAATGAATTTCTTTCAAATCAAACGAATTAACAAAAAAATAAAATAAATTATCATAATTACAAAATAATCTTGTTTTTCATAATTTATTTATATTTCATATCAGATTATGTATTGTAATTACTTTACAGTAGAACCTCGATTATCCGCTCCCCGATCAACCGACCCCTTGGTTAACCGACCGTCCTAGTCGGCAAATTTCAAATGTCCGCTAGTGATGTGGCGCTACAATATTTGGCTATGTCTTGGCTACTTTAATATTATTTTTACGTGTTTTAGCTGGCAACACTCATTCGACCATGAAAGGGAGCCAGTATTTAAACGAAGCTTAATTTTCTAATTTTTAACGATACAATAGCGACGATTATTATTTTAAAAAATTTTTGTTAGGCTTAACATCGATGAAAATTCAACGCAAAATAGGTTAATAGCGATATACTAATATACTAATTACATGGGATATAATAATATACTACACTAATAATGGATTTTTTCATACTTTTCGGTTATCCGACTTTTCAATTATCCGACCAACCCCAGTCCCCAGTCCCCAATTAGGGCGGATAATCGAGGTTCTACTGTATTTATAAAATTGTACTGATTATTACTACAAGTATATATAGTTGAGTCTGCTTAAGAGAGCACTCGTGAGATCGCTGAATCATCCTCCTTTATCTGGACTGTTCTCTCATCCGAACCAATCAGTGGCCGAGTGAATAAAACCACTAAACACTGGTAGTTGGTGGTAGGTTCGCTCCTAGCCAACGGGATGGCCAACTGGAGTTTTTCGGGTTTTCTTTACGTTAGTAACAACTAAATATGGGCCAATTTCTAATAATAGCTCTCTTCCGTTAACAGATTGCCCGTGTGAGACGTTGCAATATATGAATAAAATCAAACTCACGTCCGAAGTAAAAAGATTACTTATGGGGTCGTTCATGGTATTCGAATCTCTTCACTCCATCTTATAGGAACACCTATCAATATAGGCCTATATAACTCATAAAAAACACTTGAAAACGTTAAAATTTATTATCACATAATTTTACTGTACTTAAAAGTTACATATTATTTTCCATTTTGATATTAATTAATCGAATAAGTGGATACAGTATATTTATCAGTCGTATTACTTTCATTTCTTCTCGGAAATACAATAAGAGGTCTAGCTGAAAAGATATGAACAGACTTAATTCAAAATTTATGAATGTTTTCTAATGAGACGTACTGTACAATACAGTATAAAAGCACAAATGGGCGCTATAAAACAGTGCATGAAAATTTCTTGTCTTTATCAATAGAATCCAAAAATTTACACTTTTAGACAAGGCCATATCTGTAATTTTCGTAAATACTCATATTTTCTACAAAGTAATTAAGGCGAACACAATTGTATTAATCAATTTAATTTTAATACAATTATAAAAAAATATTCGTTATTGACTTGATTCATTTTTATATTTTACTTTACAATTAAATTGTTTTAATGCATTTTTAACAGGTGGAAACTATTGGAGATGCATATATGGTAGTTTCTGGTCTTCCTATGCGAAATGGTAATTTACATGCCAGAGAAATTGCGAGAATGTCCATTGCTCTATTGAATGCAGTTAAGTGTTTTACAATCAGACATCGACCGCAAGATCAGTTAAAACTAAGAATCGGAATGCATTCTGGTATACTTATTATTTCCATTTATTGGATTCATAATAGTATATTATGCAATTACTTTATAATATAGTTGATTATAACATGAATGGAAGTTTGGCACACGAGCGGAGCGAATGAGTCAATTTCCATGAATGCCGTAATCGCTAATTATAAACGAATTGTCATTATAAACGAATTATAAACTCAAAATCATGTATAAACACAGTGTTTGTGACACGGCATTATGGCACTGGTGCCATAAACACTGTGTTTACACATGATTTTGATTTCCATAAGTATAGTGTTATAAGTGTAGTCAACCACAAAATAAATCAAATGATGATGAACATTTGTAAATTTGAATTAAAATTTAGTAAAGTTTTTAACATATTGAATGGCTGGATTATTAATAGTCTATTAATTCGAAATATTAATTATAGATTAACAGAAAATGTTTATTACTAACAAATAACACTAAATTATGTTTTTATTTCTCTTGTTTTAAGATAATTCAAATATAATTCTAATGGAAGTCTATTAATTTTTATTAAGCTAGATATTTAAATATCAAATTAATACCATGTTACAGGTCCATGTGTTGCTGGCGTTGTAGGTTTAAAAATGCCAAGATATTGTTTATTTGGCGATACTGTCAATACGGCCTCCAGGATGGAGTCGACGGGTTTAGGTCAGTATATTGTTTTATTTTACATTAATAAATTAATAAAAACACTTAATAATTTTTATTAACATTGAAACAAAGCTTAATATGAAATGTTATTGATTTAATTTCATATTTAGCTGAAATTCTGTTGGTTAAAATATATATCAAACTATATAAATACTTAAAATAATACGTACAAAAGTGAAAATCTATAAAGGAAATTTCAGTAATATTCTGCTCATAAATCAACTGTATAATTTATTATTTATTTCTCTTGGTGTTCATTTATACTACGACTTTTTTAAAATACTATCTTTGGTAAATACAACACAGTGATTAGTTTCATAATTAGGATTTATGTATCTCGTATAATGCGGTGAAGAGTCCGTACACCATAAAATACAGTTTTGCAATAAATACATTTAATGAAATTATAATTATGTTGCTGAAATAAACAGTTTTGATTTTTATTAACATTGAAACAAAGCTTAATATGAAATGTTATTGATTTCATTTCATATTTATCTGAAATTCTGTTGGTTAAAATATGTATCAAACTATATATTATTCATTTATTCTATTGTTCGATTAAAAAAAAGCAATGAAATATAAGATTTAGATACAGTATTTAAATTTAATAGTTTAAACTTCAAGAGAATTATTTTTTTATTTAACTTAAANTTTTTCGTGCTAAGAAGGTGCAGAGACTGCTATGTTTTCCGATTCCACCTGAATTCTATCACCATGCGACAAACTCAAGCGAGGTTCTAGTCAATTTAATATAAAAAGTAATCTAATTTTTCATTTTAATAAAGAAATGAAGTAAAGTTTTTTCCCTAATCTCAGTCTTTTTGAGTTGATTTTCCGGGCTAAACGCGACTCGTAATTGTTTTGATGTAGGTAGGTTCGTTGATAGCACACCTCCACACTCAAGATAGTCAATATATGTAGAATTTTTAAAATATATATATTCTTAATTAGTAACTGATTTATTACAGTAGACTCTCATCTTTATCACTTGTTTCTTACGTTTGATTCTTTACTTTTTATTATACTAAAGCGTAGAATTTTTAAAACATATATTATCTTAATTAGTAACTGATTTATTACAGTAGACTCTCATCTTTATCACTTGTTTCTTACGTTTGATTCTTTACTTTAGAAACGATATCTTTAAGTGTTCACAGATGGCTAAGGTAATTGGTAACGTTGATAATAACTTTGATTAATATTTATTTATCATTTGTTGCTGAAATGAAATTGGCTCAGTATTCTTCGATACAGTCGAGGGATTCTAATGGATATTCTGATTTATTCAGAGGCATCAAATTGATGATTAAAATTTGCTTTTATAATATGAAAAATTTGTATGGTACTTTGTGGAACTTCATACGTAGCTTTGTTGATCACTTGTATTGCGTGTAGCAAGTTCACTCCAAATTCCTTTAATCCATCTTCAATAATACGCACTGCGTTAAACTACTACAATTTGTTTGCACTGATAATTGTCAAATTTGAACACAATAAAAAGCTTTTAATGTGAGGACACTGGTTTACCTGGTCACTAACGATTTCTTATCCACTCCTATTCCATGCATACTCTAGTAGTACGCACAGAGTCCATTTTCAGGACTAGAACTGGGACTTCTTTTGATATCTTACGAGTGAAAACTGAAGTACTGACTGATACACAAACTTCTGATTTACATAGCCAGGATTCAATTCCCTGGAGTAAGCAAAAAATATTAACAACCGACTGAGGCCTTTTAAAAGTTTTTAAGTTTATCTTATTATACTTTTTAGTATTTTAAATTTAACATTTCGTTAAAATTGTTGTTATTGTTTAAAATGTTATTTTTTTGTCGAAATCAACAGTTAATTTATCTTTGTAAAGTATAGCTCTAATTTTTACGCGAAAATTAACATACGGCATTCTCTAATATACTGTACTGTACATATAGTATGTACTGACATACTGTATGTACTGTACTTGCCATTTCACTACTTATCCAAAAATGTTCTTTATTTTATTTCTAACTTATGCACTCGTATCACTGAAGCTCTACACTCGAATTAACGCAAGTTTCAGAGGTAAGCAAGTGGTTTCTCTAAATTCAAGTTTTATGGTATATGCACTCTACACATCTATATCCAATAGGATTTTAATAATATGTTTTGACTGTGGCTTTCTATAGCTTTGCTATTGTTCCCCCAAAGTTGATTTTTGACTTGTTGGCTCTCTTAAAATGATCGTGGTCCCCTTGGAGCCACATAGCCCTGTTGACAAACATTGATCTATACTATGGTTTTATACAAGTTTTGTAATCTTTTCTACCACTTCATACAATTCTCCTTTTAAACTACTGATTTTTACCATAGATTTAATTGAAAATTATTCAGCGCTTCTCCTGAAATTCATCCAGCTGCTTACTTGCACCCGATATATTCTAACTGTTGTCTGAATTGTATAGATTTTTCTCCAAGAAGATTTCTATTCCTATTTCTTAATTCTCATTGTACAAACCACTTCATTCTGCACTTTTGTTTAACAATGTATTCTGTTGTTCATCGAAGCTTTCCAAAAGAATTTCCATATTTTTTTATATAGGCTTATATAGAGATTACTCAATGGAATGTTAAATTCTTTTCAATTTATATTTTTTGTTACTGCTTTCCTCCATGGTTTTTACAAAAGACACATTTTCTTCTATACACAAACACACATACAAAAAAAAGAAAAACAAAATTAGAAATGAAAGAAAGTGTCCGAAACTTAAATTTTGAGTGAGTGAAATGTGATCTGAAAACTACTTTGATTTATAGAAACACAGAATGCATTGAGTCTATGTGAATTAAGTCGGCACAAAAAATAAAATTTTGAGTTAAGGAAGTTCTAGTTTACTGTAAATGATATAAATTTTTATCATAATTATTAAGAAAATTAAAATTTATTTCTATAATGAGAGTTATTAAATAGATTATAATTATTTCAAAAATATACTTCCAGCATTGAAAATACATGTTAGTCCGAAAACAAAAGAGATTTTGGATACATTCGGAACGTTTCAAATTGAATGTAGAGGAGAAGTGGAAATGAAAGTAAGTGAAGTTAAAAAGTAAAGCCTTTTACACTCAAATATTACTACAATTTTTAAACATTTTTGTTTACTGTATAATATATAGGCCTATATAACGTTTCTAAAACTTTATACCAATTTACTTTTATGGAAAGGTTTAATAAAGTTTAAATTTAAAAAATAAACACGTCTTTGGTTTATACAAAATATTTAGTTCATCAGTAATAAATAATAGTTTTAGAAAAGATTAGAAGAAGCCTTTAATTCAATTTAAAATCACTAGAGAAGGGGGTACATTATTCTATGAAATGTCGAGCAGAAGGCCTAAACCTTCTTGAAACGCCTTGTAATAAGTACAAAATATAGGCCTATATTTAATATATTTTTGTTATCGTAATTTTTAAGTTAAAGTTTACATAAAAATTATTATAAAATAATATAAAAATTATTAATAAACATAATAGTTACGTCAAACAATTACTTTATCTTTACAGGGAAAAGGTAAAATGGTGACGTATTGGTTAATCGACGAACTTGAAAATCCACAGCAATTAGTAAATATTGATAATCCTAAAGAAACAAGTATTTGATATAAAGATATGTTTTAATTTATCACTATATATTTTCATACAAATTGTCTTTCATTTCTTGTGTTATATAATTTTCGAAGTGGAATGTGATATATCATTAAAGAAACGGGTCAGAAATCGAATATTACTCATTGCTTTTATTCTAATCTATTATATATATATACTTAAATATTTAATAAAATGATTTATTTATTTCATTACCTGACACTCATTTTTTTGATTATTTTTAAAATCATACGTAGGAACGTATGAAAGAAAGTTATTCGGGTTAATTTAACAATTGATTCTCAATGAAATGTTCAAATAAAAATAATCATAAATTAATTTATTTTTAAAAGAATGTTAAAAGATTTCTACATATAAAATAATAATACGTGGAAAATATCAGAAAATTATAAAAAGTCATATGTTCAGAACATAATAATAAATATAATAAATCTCTAAGAATTACATTTATGATTAACATTTAATAATATATTTGTCGTTGAAATATAAAATTAATGTATATTTTAAAAATATATTTATTTATTAGTATTATTTATTTGCTGTTTTATTTTATTTATTTTTTGCTACATATCATTAGACATTGTAAGAAAAATCTGATTAAAAATATTAAATTAGCATAAAACGACTTCACAAGGGATCGCCCTAAAGCAGACACAGCAGACAAATCGAGTTGATTTGTCTGCTGTGTTTGCTTTATGGCAGTCCCTTGTGACGTTCTATGGCACACTTGTGGATCCTCAAAAGAAGTAGGATGACGCATTAACCGCCTCAGTAACCCGGCTAAATATAATTGATGCCAATCTTTATTATGCCGAATTTAAACAAGTTTCTTGCATGTATAAGTTTCTAGCTGCCATCGGAGACCAAAAAGTTGTTGTTGCCACAGGGAATATAATGGGTGGAAGAAATGGCAGAAAGTTGTGTATGTGCCATTTCTGCTGAAAATCTTCAGCAGAAATGGCACATACATCAGACGACAGATGAATCGTATCGAAATTTTGACGAGTTTTTAATAGAAAAAAGTTAGAACTTGCATATAGTAGTAAAAAATACAGTATGTTACATAAATTCATAAAATTATTAAATTAGTGTAAAAATTATTAATTTTGAAATCTTTAAGATTAAATATATTCTTTATTGTTTTTAAAATGTATTATTATCGTTCAGTTTTTCTAAATTGTCATGTATTAGACTTCAAAAATAGATACCCTTCGGGTGCTTTTATTACTTTTACACTACTTCTAAACTGTTTTAATTTTTCTGCTATTTTATAATTTATGATATCGAAATGGCTTCTGAAGAAAGACTTTCAGTTTTCCAAACTTTCACTGCGTAAGCCATGTTCCATATAAAACGTTCAAGCTTTTATTTCTTATGACGTGATTTTCAAGAAATTAATTCAGTTAATGAGTTCTCATTACTTAAAGACTTTTTAGAGATTTTATTTAATAATTTATCGGACAATATGGAGCTTACAGTAAATAGATTTGCTTCATTAAGTTTCATTACACCAATATAATTACTACAACTACTAAATTGGAAGAGGAAAATAGGATTGCTGGCTTTAGAAAATGTTGTACAGGAGTTTATTTCAGATAATGGAGTTTTATGTTCTTTTATTGAATATTATGGCTAATACGGGTATTAGCAATAATTTAATGATATTTAATCTCAATTCCTTTTGAATAAAATTCAAATGAATGTTAAGGATCTTAAAGTTACTAACATACAGTAAGTAAAGATGATGCCATTAATGTACTGAGAAGAGGATTTATTTGAATATCTAATGTTAACTTTCGCCATCTTATTTTTAATACTTATTGAATAAATAGAAAAAAGTTATTTCTTTTCTCCAAAATGTTACTTCTTATCTGTAGATTTAGTTCTAAACGTTTGCATCGCAATCATTTATTACGACAAGTAAACATGATAAATATAGGAGTAGAATAAAATATTAACCGATAGGAAAAATAAAAGCGCTTTAATTTATACAACGATTAATTATTTATTGTGACATCGTCACAATGCCGTACTGCAATTTTTTATCATATTTTTAATTTATCTAATTTAAAATATACGCTCTCCACCTCAAATTAATACTGTAGAATCTTGCCCCTGTACTGTACATCATACTTTTCCGTCAGCAATAGAGTCGTGCCGTTGAAAAATGATTTACCATCAGTATTTAAAGTAATAAATTCAAATGAGTTTTTTGAAACTATTGTTATTGATTCTTTGCAATATGCTGATGATGATATTTTAGCCAAAGATTCTATTAATACGCAAGGAAAGTTAAATAAATTAGTTAAATATCCTCATAAAAATGATACATTAAATTTCTTATATTACAAAAATTATAATTGCTTGAAGAGAACTTACAAAAGAAGAAAATTGAAAGAAATTTATCACCATTTTTCCAATACTATTCAGAGAAGATAAAGATGATATTTTCCAAAAAATACACGTAAATTTCTGTTTTATGCATATAAAAATCTATCATCTCCAATAATAATTTGATTTTGAAAAATCAAAATTTAAATATTGATAATATTATAAAACTTAAAATTCATTATATAAGTGTATACAGGATGCTTGAAAAAACCGAGAAATATTTTAAAGTTTACGTTAAGAGCGATTAAAATCAGTATGAAACAGTTCATTATTCCTAACTTAGTTCGTCACGTTAACTTAATTTTGGCCCAATCTATATATATTATAATTTATTTAATAATTATTTCATATGATAAATAAGTAACGATTTAGAAATAATTTTATTTACTTATATAATAAGTTAATTAATATAATGTATTAAAATAATTTTAAAATCCTTCTAATCGAAATGTAAAGATACTTATTTACAGTTTAATAAAATATTATTAAAATTGACGTATATTATACAATTTTTAAAACTTTTATCGAAACAGTCAAAGAAAACAAAGAAACAATTTTAAAAGTCGAAACACTAATGAAAAAATATTTTGAATGTAAAAGCTGTGCAAGATTATTTTATTACTCCATTTCTTTTATGTTTAGAAAAACAAATGGACTGGAAGAATATTCTTAATACTTTATGCTTTAGAGAGTGTAGGATCGTGACTTGTTACAATAAATTGTAAGTCAAATGCATGAATGCACCCTTATTTCGAAAAAAAAGACATACAATATCTCACATGCTGTACAAAATGCATATTCTAGAAAATTTCAAATGCATTTGCTCACACACTTTATATAAAGAATAACAATAAATTTCTGAAATGTTTCACAAACGTCATAAATAATTAATACATCTTTTTTACAATATTTGAAAGAAAACAGTAAAATTTTATATAAAAATACGTAGGCAATTTTTTTTATTTTTCATCTATCGAACATCTATTATGCCATATTTCAAATTATCTCTATTTTATGAAGGTATATATCGTAAAGTATATAAAACTATATGTAAGTAAGATAGAAAATAAATTCCTTAATTTAAAAACAGTGGTTTTATATATACTGCATTTGTAGGAACAGGAATAAGGACTAGATAAAATAATACTTTGACCCAATCGACAAAAACAACAAAACAATTTTTTTATGTCAGATTCAGGATGAATCTGACATAAAAAATGAAGCAGTTTTGTTGTTATTCGTCTTTTAAAAAAGTTCTAATTCCAGAGTTCGTTGTCTTCTTCTTCTTTTTCTTTTTGCGCTCCTCGCAGGCCTTTTCTTACTTCATAAATTCCACAGTTCGGTCATCCTGAATAGATATTCCGATCACTGAATCCGTCTTTCTCTCTTCCTACTCGGTCTTACTAGAGTCCTTCTCGCGTCCTCCTTATTGGACTAGGAAATAAACTCTTTGCTGATGTCTTTAAATATCGATAGGCGTGCTTTCGGCAACTGGTACTGTACTTTATACGTCTTGCATGCCGTTTCTGTATGTCTGCATATGTCTTATCGTCTTTAGGAGAGATTTCTGTAATTTAATATTTATCTTTTTGCATCCATTTCTTCGTATTTTCTTCGTTTCTAACCCTTTCACGGTCTTGAATAACTCCATTAATAAACTCTTCATCTACAACTTGTTTGAACCATCTGCCCACAAAGTAATATGTACTTCAGTCAAAAGATCTAATTATATTCTCTATGTCATTAACACTTAAAGCTATTTTAGGGAAGTCTAGAATAGACGAAACCTGATCCACTTTTCTCAACATTTGTCTCTCGCAACTGCTGACAACACCGTCATTGTTTTGTACTTCGAAATATTCATCTTGCTTTCGAAGTCATCAGTAATAATATTGACCCTTAAAACATTCGTTTAAATTTGTGACAAATCTCTTCATTATTCTTTCTTTGGTGCAATCATGTTTATATTTGCCTACTACTATCAAATCATTAACTGAGAAGTTTTTGCTAATAAATTCTAATTTTACTTTATATTCGGCATCTCTTTTAAAAGAACAACAAAATCTTTTAAACTCAACAAAGTCATTTTCTATTAGAGCTGTCTCCATCTTGTTCAGATGTCAACTTCTGTAATGTTCTTATTGCACTCGTAGAACGTACTGTAACTTCGAGGAAATCCGCAACGAATTCCTTTTTCTCTTTTCCTTATATAATAAAATCGCTGTTCAATTTACTTGTTCGATTTTTGGCAAGATTATTTGGTGAATATCGACCAATAATTTAAAAAGTCGTTTAGAAAAAACAGATTGCGACATTTTTAAGTGTACGATGAAAAGGTTTTAGTTAATCAACAGCTGAAAAAGTTCAGCAGTTAGGTATAAAAATGGATTTGCGATTGAAGATGATTCAAGTGAAGATGAATGAATTCTTTTATAAGGACTTCTGTAGTAACTCCTGATGACATAGAAGCGAAGATTTCTGCATGTTTATATGCAGTTAAAATATTTTTGAAAGCTTTCAAAAAAGCTGAAGAGATGAACACAGTACTGTTATTAACAGATACTTTATTAGGGCATTTGGGATTAATTAAAAGTGAAGATGAAAGTTTTACATCACAAAATAATCTTAAAGGACCATTATCAGTTTTAGAGCATACCGCCAAAGAAAAATATTTTAGCAAAATAACAAAAGATACCTTGCAATTATTTCTTTTCAGCTTTCATTCTGAGTCCAAAATGATCTTCGAATGAATTTTGACTCCAAATTTTTGCATTCGGAATTCAAAATTTAAAAATCAACAGTAATAAAAGGTTAGTAAATTTTCAACCCATATTTTCAGTTTGCTATTTTATTTTTCAATAATGT